GGGGAGAGGGGTATAAATTGTTTTTTAAGCGGCTAAAGGGGTTTTAAAGGGGTGTGCCTTAGACTGATTCTGTTGTTTTCTTTTTTTTTTTCTTTGATTCTGTGAGGAATTTCTGATATCTCTCATCCAAAAGTCGTTTGTATTGCAATTCTACACATCATATGTTTTTTCCTGGAATTTTTTTAATTCTTTTTTTGTTTTTTCTTTTTTGGGTGCTGGTGCTTTTTGGAACCCTGCCCAGGGTTCATGCCTGACCGGGCACCCGGGAGTATATCCGGGCACAAGTTTGGTGCCCGGGCGCCCGGACAAACAGCCTAGATAACAATTTAATAAAAAAAGTAAATTTATCACTGTTGATCATTGATTCAGTTTTTGAATTATATTATCTCTTTGAAATTTTGAATTATTGATCAAGAAGAAATGAAAATTTAATGAATAGCAAATAAATTTAATAAAATTAGATAAAATGAAATAATTGAGACGGTGGATGATATCATTGACATGGGCCAGGCTTGATAATGAGGATTGTTGATAATGTTTCTAAAAATTACTTTAGTCATTTCCGCAAGTATAATTTTAAGTTTTTAAAAAATAAGTTCAATTAACAATCAAGGAATCAAATAAATATAAGGGTTTGGTCCTGTCCTTCGGGGACATCCGTTAAAATTGGAATGATACAGAGAAAGAGAAGATTAGCAGCATGGCCTCTGCACAAGGAAAAATAAGGATTTGGTCGTTTTGGATGTTAATGTACACCTGCGATCAGCTCTTCGCACATCTTCATCTACGCAAATTTCTGCTCGGCATTTTCAACAGCAGCCAGGCATATTATCAATCATATTATTTAGACAGTAGATACATACAGATATATGATATCTATAGAGTAGCATAGATTCTATACATATGTGTATATACATTGTTACATATATATTGTCATAAGGTTCAGCCTCCTGATGAGTTGGTGAAACTCCGACTACATAGTCTGTCACAGCACCTCGTTTGTTCTCCTCTTCTCCCTCCTCCCTCCCTGCCTACCGTTCACCCACCCAATAGTTCTCAGCAACAATATACATCGCCATAGAGAAGACCTACCCAATGAACCGTGGGCAGAGAGGAAGGAGAGGACAACAAACAAGGAGGGGCAGCGGCAGACTGTTTCATCGGAGTTTCACTGACTGTGTATGAGAGAGAGAGAGAGAGAGAGAGAGAGAGAGAGAGAGAGAGAGAGAGAGAGAGAGAGAGAGAGAGAGAGATTGTTAGCATCGAG